ACATCCTTCAGCTGCAGGAGCCTGGAATTTCCTGCCACCTTCCAACCAAATCGTCACRGCCTGCTCTGAGCCGGGTTTAAATCCTGAGGGGAACCAGAAATCCGGGCGGTCGAACGAGATGGTTCAACACTGAGCGCCTCTGTCAGAGGCAATTCCCGATTTGCCAGAGGCAAAATCCTCGCGGATGGAGCAGCTCCAGCTTTTCCGCCCGAGCCGGTGCCGTGGGATCCCCACGAGGGGTCCCCCATTCCTGCCCTCGCACCTGGGACTTTGGGAAGTGAAAACCACTTACAGAAGGAGCAAAACCAGCGCTCGAGCTCGGGATAAACCTCGAGATTAAACCAGCCCGGAAATGCTGAGCGCTGCGAGAAAGAATTTGTGGGAAGAGGAGAGATTTGTGGGTTAAATCTCCTGTTCCTGCGCGGTGGGGTCGGTGAGGTGCTGCTGAGCAGCGCCTTTGGTTTCCTGCAGCGTTCATTGAGGGCTCCGTGGCCAAAACACAGAGGGGGGAAAAGAAAAGGAAGCGGGGAAAAAAGGGAAGGGAGAAAAAAAGGGAAGGGTAAAAAGAGGGAAGGGGGAAAAAAAAGGGAAGGGGAAAAAAGGAAAGGGAAAAAAAGGGAAGGGGGAAAAAAGGAAGGGGAAAAAAGGGAAGGGGGAAAAAGGGAAAGGTGAAAAAAAAGGGAAAGGGGAAAAAAGGGAAGGGGGAAAAAAGGGAAGAGGGGGAAAAAAAGAGAAGGGGGAAAAAGGGAAGGGGGAAAAAAGGGAAGGGAAAAAAAAAGGGAAGGGGAGATTTTGCATGAGAACAGAGCGATGCTAGACCCGCTCCTGAGGGATTCCCATAGTTTTTGGGCAGCWCAGAGATCCCGAACAGAGATTTTTGAGCTGCAGCTCTCGTAGGTGCGGCAGGGAGAGCCAAAAAATCCTCTCGCCCATCCCGAGGGGAGGGATCCTTSCAGCTCTGTGGGTGGAAGCTGCGTTTCAAGGCCCTGATTATGCAGCGAAGCAGCGGCTTCTCCCGGCTCGGATGGGCCGATGGAAACGATCTGATTTCAGATCTGATTTCAGACCTGATTGCAGCAAGAGCCGCGGCGTTACACAAGGGAACCCGGCGGATTCGCGGCTCTTTCTCCCGTGCGGTGTCGCTGATCCCATCTCCCGCCCTGCTCAGCCCCGTGGAGGGACAATCCCGCAGCTCGGGGGTCACCCCAATGCTCCCCCTGCTCAGGGCGGGGTGCGAGGGTCTTTTCGGGTCCCATCGCACCCCTCGGAGCCGGAAAATCACAGCCAAGTTGGAACCGTGCAGGTTCCTGCAGCACCGAGCAGCCAGCCCGGCGTTCCTGGGGGTTCCATCCCCCTTTTCCCTGCGGAAAGCTGCGCCCTGGGCTGAGCTCTGCCTCGCTCTTTCTCCAGCGGCCTGGAGTGAGTCAGGATTTTGGAGTGGCCGTGCTGGAGCGGCTCCGGCTGCCCCACACCGTGTGAAAGCCAACAGCAAACCCAACCCGAGGCCGGGGTGAGAGGAAGGGAAAAACCCTTCAGACTCAAGTGCGGTGTTTGCTTTGGCGGCCGCGTTCCTGCCCGCGCCTTCCCCCAGGAAGCCCGAGCGCGGTCAAGTGGGCGAGAGGAGCTGCAGAACCCCGGGAGGAGGGGGGCGAGAGCCCTCCGGGCTGCCCCCGAGCCACAGGCAGAGCCTCCCGCAAGCTGCGGGGGGAGCGGAGCCGGGTGAGGGCTGAACCGAGCCGGTTACCGGCTGCGGGGAGCCGGGGGCGGGGGATGCACCGGGAACGCGCTGCTCGGAGCGGGGGATGCTCGGGGGTCCCGCTCCGGGGCTCGGTGAGGATGCGGCGGGCACGGAGTGGAGGGGGAGGCTGCGGGAAACGGGGGGTGCTCAGGGACAGCCGAAACACGGCGGGGATGCAGCGGGGACCGGGAGGGATGCAGCTGCGTGGGGGGATGCACCGGAGCGGGGGGATGCACCGGAGCGGGGGATGCTTGTGGTCCCCGCACGCTGAGGATGCTCCGGGTTATCCTTACCAGCTTCCCGGAGCGCTCCCGGGCTTTCTTCACCTTCCCGTAGGTGCCTTTGCCCAGCGTTTCCAGGAACTCGTAGCGGTGCTTGAGGTTGTGCTTGTGGTGGTGCCGCTTCACCGCCTGCTTCTTCATCAGCGGCCGCGGCGATTTGATCAAGCCCTCGGCCAGCGAGGCGGCCAGCGCAGAACCGGAACCGGTACCGGGCCCCGCCGGCCGCTCCATCCCGATCCCGGCTCCGGCTCCGCCGCCGCCCGGCGCGTCCCGGCCCGTCCCGGTCTCCCGATAAATGCGGCGGCCCCGGCGGCCGCGCCTCCCCGCGCCCATTGGCGGCTGCCGGTGACAGCCCCGCCCGGGGCCGGGACTGGGAGGGGGGCCCGGGCTGCGGGGAGACCCCAAGGGCAGCGCTGGGAGAGGGGAACCCGCGGGGAGGGGTTGGGGGAGAGCCAGGGACCAGCGGGCGGGGGGCACYCACAAATTTGGGTAAAGGAGGGGGTGTGGAGAGAGAATGCAGGGACAGGGGAGAGAGGCGGGGGACAAAGGGGGACACCTGGAGGGTCTCCAGGATGGAGGGAGGTGAGGATTTTTTTTGGGGATGATGCAGGGAGAGACTTTCACGCAAATGTTGGGAAGAGGTGAAGGCTCGGAGCGCTGGGAGGGTCAGAGGGGGTTTGGGGCAGAATTTGGAGTGCCAAGGCACGGAGAATGGCTTCACAGTGCCACAGGGCAGCTTTTGGTGGGATTTGGGGTGAAATTAATCCTTTTGAGGATGAGGGAGGACTGAGATGGAATTCCAGCTGCGGCTGCTCCATCCCTGGAATTGTCCAAGGCCAGGTTGGACAGAGCTTGGAGCCACCTGGGACAGTGAAAGGTGTCCCTGCTCATGGCAGGGGTGCACTGAGTGATCTTTAATGCCCCTCCCAACCCAAACCATCCCATAATCCCACAATGTGGAGCCAATTCCGTGATGTCACACCCCGCGGGCAGAGGGACCCGCACAGCCGGACCCGATCTGCTGCAAGGAGCCCCAAAACACCCCAAACCCAGGAAAAAAATCAACATTTGGGGCAAAAACAGAGAGAGGAGAAGCCTGGGCGAGCTCAGCCTGTCCACGCTCGYCACGGGGCCACCTTTTACCCTGCTGGACACACAATCTGAGAGGGAGGAACGTTCTGCAGACCCGGAGCCGGCGGGGAAACGGCTGCCGAGGGCTCTCCCACGCAGCGGCTCCTCACGGCCGTTCCCGGCTCGCTCGGCAGCACCTTCTCCCCGTGTGGTCTCCCTGCCCCCGTGGCGAATCTTTGTTTGGWGATATTAAAAGAATGCAATTCTTTCCCCGAGCAGCCAAAACAAAAGCGYCTGCCCGGCTGGGCTCGGGCGTGTGCGAGGACACACCGGATGGATCGCGGGGGGAGATAGCGGAGGGATTACTCAGCCTCAGCCGGGTTTTCCCGGAGCGGTCTGGCAGCGCAGGGGGGTCCCAAAAATCTGTCGGGGATGATTTAACCCGTCCCTGGTGGATTTTGAGGTGATGCTGGGATCCCTCCTCTCTCAGTCAGGAGGGACCCAGGCGGGGGTCGCTGTCCCCTGGCTGCTTCTGTCACCCGGGTGTGGAAGGATTGAGGTGACAGAGTGACCTGGTGGGGACATTTGTCCCTCAGGAAAGGTGGAACGAGGGGTCACGGACAGGGCCTGGCACCAAAGTGTTCCCCACGGCTTTCACCTGTCCCAGAGCTGTCCCACACCCCTTAAAACCCCATTTTTATATGATTGGGACACCTTCCCATGGCTGTCACCTGCCCCAGCACTGTCCCACACGGCTAAAACCCAATTTTTATACGACTGGGACATTCCCCAGGCTGTCACCTGCCCCAGCACTGTCCCACAACCCTTAAACCCAATTTTTATATGACTGGGACATTTCCCATGGCTGTGACCTGTCCCAGCGCCCTTAAAAACCATTTTTATACGATTGGGACATTCCCCAGGCTGTCACCTGCCCCAGCACTGTCCCACAACCCTTAAACCCAATTTTTATATGACTGGGACATTTCCCATGGCTGTGACCTGTCCCAGCGCCCTTAAAAACCATTTTTATACGATTGGGACATTCCCCAGGCTGTCACCTGTCTCAGCACTGTCCCACTCCCCTTAAACCAAATTTTTATACTTCCCATCACTGTCACCTGTCCCAGAGGTGTCSYACTCCCCTAAAACCCCATTTTTATATGATTGGGACACTTGCCGTGGCTGTCACCTGTCTCAGCGCTGTCCCACACCCCTTAAACCAAATTTTTATACGATTGGGACATTTTTCATGGCTGTGACCTGTCCCAGCACGTTCCCGCAACCCTTAAAAACCATTTTTATACGATTGGCACCTTTCCCAGGCTGTCACCTGTCTCAGCACTGTCCCACTCCCCTTAAACCAAATTTTTATACTTCCCATCACTGTCACCTGTCCCAGAGGTGTCCTACTCCCCTAAAACCCCATTTTTATATGATTGGGACACTTGCCGTGGCTGTCACCTGTCTCAGCGCTGTCCCACACCCCTTAAACCAAATTTTTATACGATTGGGACAYTTTTCATGGCTGTGACCTGTCCCAGCACCGTCCCGCAACCCTTAAAAATCATTTTTATACAACTGGGACATTTCCCAGGCTGTCACCTGTACCTGGGCTGTCCCACTCCCCTCAAACGCCATTTTTATATGATTGGGACATTTCCCATAGCTGTCAGCTGTTCCACACCACGTAAACCCCATTTTTAAACGATTGGGACACCTTCCCATGGCTGTGATCGTCCCAGCGCTGTCCCACACCCCTTAAACCCCATTTTTTATACGATTGGGACATTTCCCATGGCTGTCACCTGTCCCACACCACATAAACCCCATTTTTATATGATTTGGACATTCCCCAGGCTGTCACCTGTCCCAGCGCTGTCCCACACGCAATAAATGTCATTTTGAAGCAATTAAAACAGACAGGTCTCTTATCCCGCCACTGTCACTGATTTTATGGCCACTGACCACGTGGCATCTCCGTTCCCCGCAGGGATGARCAGCTCCAGGCTGGTCCTTTCCACCTCAAACCACGGACAAATCTCTCTCCTCGCTTTAAAGTCAACCCGGGCCATCCGAGGACGATCCTGGGCTGCAGCAGTTGTGCTAATGAATTGCGATAATGAATCGCGATAATGAATGGCGATAATTAATTGTGATAATGAATCATTTACGGGAGCCGTTTCCATGGGGAGGATAAACAAGGCGGAGATGAGTTGAACCGAGCTGCCGTAATTTTCAAATCAAAGCAAACAGCCCGGATCCTGTCCGGGCACAGCCCGGGGATTGCGGCAGAGCCGCGGAGRGAAGGGACGAACCTCCCCGGCAGTAAACAAAGGGATTGCACCGGTTTGAGAGGAAAAGCGTCACTGTCGCTGTCGCTGTCACTGTCGCTGTCACCGTCGCTGTCCCTATCGGTGTCTTCCGGAGTTATCCCAGCTGTGGGATCGCTCCCGGCTCAGCCCAGCCGCCCCAAAAACTTTAGGCACGTGTCTGATATCCCTGTGGATTTACGGGGATGTTTTTTCCGAGGCTTTCCCCGCGGTGAAAGGAAGCGGAGCTCCTGTTCCCACTGGGTGAATCCTTCTCGGCCGCTCAGTGCTGGGGCTGAGAGGGAGGCCGAGGGTTGTGTTTGCTCCCGAGCGGCTCCAGAAGCCGTTCCCATTTTCATGGAAATGCCGAGGGACGCGGAGCTGAGCCCGCTGGAATCCGCTGATAAGGATCCTCCGTTGTGGCAGCACCCACGGCTTTCTCCGGTGGGGAAATCCACCGAAATTCCCCTGCCACGGAAATCCCAAACTGGGCCCGTCCCGCGGTGCGTATCCACAAAAACCGACCTGAAATCCAACCAGGAATTCGGCTCCGTGGCAGAAAACCCGCTCCGAACTCAGCCTGGTGCTCGGTCACAGCCTATTTTCAGGCTCTGAAATTAGTATTTATTAATTGATCATTTGAACACAAATCCCACAGTGTTTTCCCGGCGCTGGAAACATCAGTGTCCTGGACAAACTCGGTGGCTCTGCCTTTGAATTCGGTGGCCACAGGCTCTGCTTGTAGATTGAGAAAGGAATAAACGCCAGGCGGAGGATTCGCTCGCAGCAGGGAGACCTCCCACGGGGAAAGGAAGAGCTCCCGGAGTCATTAAAATGCCAGAGACAACAAAAAGTTTAATGATCGCCCGTCGTTAGTGGCCTCACGGCCCCCGGCATTCCTCACCTGCTGCCGGGTGATGCTCGGGCAGGTGTGAAACCCATTTTACCGCTGAAAAGAGGGAGAGGGGGAAAGCGGGATGGCTCTGATCGGCGGGAGAAGGGAAAC